TAATTACTAATTAGTATTTATTATCTAGATTAAATATGTGCTAACCAACAAATATTATACCAATAATCTAGTTTAAACCCGGATTTATTAATTAAAAAACACTTTACTTTACAGATATAAATAATCTCATATCAAACTCAACCTGATATATAAAAGCGAGACATATTCTCAATACAATTAATAATTAGTAATACATTATACAAACACTCCCTGTATAATGAAGTACACAATTATATTAACGCTCAGTTGTCTCGCCGTTTACGGCAACTGCAAGACCATTGAGGTGACCAACGCTGAGCAACTGCACAGCGCACTGTCATCGGCAGCGGCGGGCGATACCATTCATATGCACGACGGGAAGTACCATGGTTCATTTGAGCCCACCAAATCGGGCTCAGCGTCGGCTCCCATCACACTCACCGGCTCTAAACAGGCCGTCATCTCCGGCACGAAATACGGCTTTTGGCTTAAGGGCAGTCATTGGGTGCTAAAGGGCTTCACTGTTACCGACTCTCCAAAGGGTATAGTACTGGAGGGCGCCTCACATAACCTCATAGACAACGTTGAGGTGCATAACGTTAAGCAGGAGGGCGTCCACTTCAGGTACAACAGCGCCGATAATACAATCCAGAACTCGTACATTCATCACACCGGGAGGGGCACCGAAACAGATAAGGGTTACGGCGAGGGTGTCTACCTCGGACAGGCGGTATGTTATTGATCTATTTTTGTTTTCATGTTGGTTACATTTTTTTGGGTGTAATATATTGATATTCTATTGCGCTTTATTTGCATTTAATAACTATTTAAAAATATGCGATATATAGTTTATTTTATTTTTATTAATTATGTTAATTGTTATGTTTGATATGAAACCTAATTGCCTTTCTACCATAATGACAAAATACAGGTGAGCAATTGGCAGGGCGGCAAACCAGACAAGAGTGACCGCAATAAAGTGTTAAACAACCGGATCGGACCGGAGGTGACCGCCGAGTCCATCGATATTAAAGAGGGCTCGTGTTGTGGTGAAATACGGGGCAACCATTTTGATGGCCATGGTGAATTAGGGCTACACTTTGCCGACTCTCACATCGATGTGAAGGGCGATAAGTATGTCATTGAAGGCAATACCGGCACTCATCCCAAGAAAAATGGTTTTGAGGTTTGTATATATATTTTAATATATTGTTATTATTAATTTACAAAGAGGGACAACTAACCTACTTGTGTTCAAATCACCTTGATCAGATCCACCACCAGGCCAAGGCCGGTGTCGGCGGCTGTGAGAATACCATTAAAGGCAATACTTGCGGTGATATCCCGTCGGGTGGCAAATGTGTGGTCAACTTTTCAAAGGACTGCAAAAACTATGTCGATA